CCCCACCCAATCTGGCCCAAGGCTGCCCTCACTCTGGCAGCCACACATTCAATGCAAACATGCAAAAGCCATGAATGCTGGAATCCAAACCTGGTGAGGTTGATTTTTTTCAGAGCCAGTGACTAGTCTTCCATGTACAGTGTCACTATTCCTTGACAGAACAGTTATAAGCCACTCTAGTGAAGACCCCAGCTGGCAGTGCTAGGCCTAATTGTTTAGCATCAAGATGGCAACTCACACAATGCCCTAGGTGCAGGCTGTGGTCTGGTATACATGCTGCAAAATTTGCCCTGTCCCCCTTTGTTTAATTTTTTTCTAACCTAGAATTTAATTTCAATAATAACTTTGAGACCCTTCTAAATTTTTATTTTGGCACCAGTGCAAAGACAGATAATATCCTCTCCCATTATTTTCATAAGTAACAGACTCCCTGGTTTCTAAAAACAAACAAAAAAAAATCTCTAAGCTTTTCTTATGCATAGAGCACCCTTATAATATATAGGGAGAGGTGGGTAATAAACTTCCTGTAATGACACAAATTATATGTATAGGACACATGTAAATACCAAATAGTTTCTCTAGTGTGAGAAAAAAAGTGTAATTAAGGACTAAAAGGTATAATAGATAATGGGAAATAGGAAGAAAAGGGGAAGGGGAAATGTGAGGGTAGGGTAAAGGAAACAAGGGAATGGAATTAATATGAGAAAATGAAAAATAATGGAAACAAAGTCTTTGTAATAGGGAAGGGTGGAAGGGTTGAAGGAAAGTCAGGGAATGGGGAAAATTTAAGATTGATTATGTAAAGGAATGAATTTCCAACAATGAATGTCATTATATTGTATACATAAAATGTGCCAATAAAATTAATTTTAAAAAGCCCCAGTGGCATGGTGGCTTATTTTCCAGAATGGCACTTGATTTTTCCTCTCTTCAGTCATTCCCTGATATTATTTGCATTTTTTCCTTCTCAACTTGATATAAAAGCTGCTGAGAGCATGGAAACTTGTACTGCATTTTGAATCCTTCAAACTCTGTGTGGTGTTACATTTTGTCAGTGTTAAATACTTGTGGTTTACTAATGTGAGGACTCTTAGTGGAATTACATAGAACCCATCCTGTAATTTATTTTCTGTTCTACAGATAACTGTACTTTATTAGGTTTTGCGTTCTCATCTATTATGGCTGAAGGAAGACCTTTGTTATATCTTCTGGCATTAAATTCCATGTATATTCTGTTGGCTCAGAAATAATGTGTTTCTAGCCAACACCTGTTGCCTCAATTTCTGATTCATATCCAGCTGCCTGCTTTATCTTTACTTGGATACGAATAAGTATCTCACTGTGTATATCCAAACCAAGCAGATACTCTCTCTCCAAGTTTTCCCTCCTGTCTTCCCCATATCTGCTCATATAACCTCCATCCTTCCTATTCTTTTTAGTCTTCATTTTCTCCTCTACCTCATGTCCAGCCTGTCACCAAATGCTCTGGGCTCTGTTAGAACCGACCAGTTCTCACTACTCCCACTGCCATCAGCATGGTCTCTGGTGAATTATTGCTGTGTTCTGCTAACTGGTCTCTGGGTTCTGAGTTTGTCTCAGTGGGGCAACCTGAGAGCCTCTTGTAGCACAAGCTTCCATCTCATTCAGAGAAGTCTTAAGAGTGCCACATACAGTCAGCTCCACATATCCAGCCCCTTGTTAACTTCATTGCTGTCCTCTCCCGACGCTCTCCTGTGCATGTCTCCAGCCACACTGATGATGCTAGCTGCACTCCTGTACCACGGCCAAGGGAAGCCATGCCCCACTCTTCCCTGCAGTGCTGTGCCACCTTCTCAGTGTCATCATCCTGACCACTGAGTATAAAATGAGTGTTCCCAGCTCTCCTTTGCTTACCTGCTGTCCCTGTTCCGAAGGAGGGAAACTCAGTGAGGGTGGGAGATTCTTTGGTTTTGTTAATCCCCCGCAGTTCAGAGAGTCACAGCAGAGGTCTCATATATCCAATAGATACATTCAGTACTAGTATGTGATGAAATGGGAAAAAAAATAAAACACTGCAAATTTGCATTTATTATATATAATAGACTAGAATACATTATTTTAAATTTATTTTCAGGTATAATCTAGAAATTACTAAACAGAGAAATACATAAATATTTGCCCTAGACAACATATTGTAACCAAACTGTTGGATTTAACCTTATGGCTTAACAGGAGTCGAATACAAATGCATAGCTGCCCATGACCTTGATATTTGTGCCCTTGATATTTGTAGCAATATTTGAGAGAAGAGTTTGCTTATATCTCTCAGAGCATCCAAGACCTCTTCTCTGAGGAGATCTGCCACACTGTTCAGTATTCATAGAGTATGTGAAGTTGAGTTGGTATGTTCTTGGCAAGCTTTGAATTTTCACACATTATCAAGTGCAGTTCTTAAAATTTTACAGTACACATCCATATTCAGCTTCTTAAGATATATATTTTAAATTTGTCTTATAAATTTTGAAAACACTGATATGCATTTACCCAGATATCTTTAAATCTTAATATTTCCCTGCCTTACAAGTCTAGTGAAATTTCAATAATAGCTTTTAATATTGCTTTAGGAAATAAATTACTTAGAAATCAAGTGACTATAAGAGCAGACTTGGGTTTGAAAAATAAATTGTTGTCTCTTAAGAGTATTGACTTAGGAACATCCTAACATTTATTTATTCCTCTTTAAATCAAAATCATTGCTGTTAATTTCTAAATAAATATTGAGACCTAAAACAGGTTGTCTGTGTTTGTGCACATACTTTCATCCGCCGTTGTTCATAGCAAGAGTTGAAGGAAATAAGACAATAGGAAATTACAGAGCCTTCATAGGCACAATCAGTGTGTGGGGTGAAGAAGGCAGAAAACAGAGCAGCCGAGAGTGGGCACATTTAGCTGGATGAGAGAAAAGCATTAATTGTATGCTAAGTGAATGTAAACAGCAGTGGAAAATTTGAGGCTTAGAAAGTAAAGATTCAAAAGAAAATCATGGAAATAGTACATAGAGATAATCATCGAGTTAGAGTGTGAATGCTTAAAAAAAAATAAGGGGAGGAACAGAAGGAAATGCAGTTGAAATTCAGGACACCATAGTCCTTTGCATTAATCAAGTAACATTCCGTGTGCCTGAGCCTTAGGTGATGCTTTGTGAACTATAGCTTTGCTCAAGGATCTGGGAAAAGTTTGAGTTCTGATATAGGGAACAAATAAGGAACACCTTGGCTTTTAGACAAAGTGATACTTTGAGCACATTCTCGCCAAAGACATGAACAATCTTTAGGCCCCAAACCATTGCATGATGTGACTCCACTATTTCATTCAAACCTTATAACAACAGTATTAAAGATCATTATCAGTGTTTATGAGACACTGGCTTTAATCTCACACAGATTCACTTCCAATCTGTAGTCCCAAGTACTTTAGAAGTCTTAACAGCCTCCATTTGTGTTTAGATATTTGATGGTTATACCGTATTAAGGGCAGAATCTTTTGGCTGCTCAAAATTCTTACGTTGATTTACCTTTAAGTTTAGCAGTACACCTAAAACTCATCTACATAAGGATTTGTTTTGCAAAGGTATGTGTATAAAATCTCTTGTCAAACATTCTGTTATAGATTTAAGAGATTTTGAAGGATGATTGTAGTTTCTCACTTTGTACTTCTAAAGGTAGCACATACTTATAGCAGTTACTGATTTTTTGCAGTGAAAATGTATATTTACTTTCTTTGCTATATATGGATGTTATGTATGTATTATGTATATGCATACTGTGTATATTTTGTGTTCTGATATATTTATATTGTATATATGATTCTGCAAATGGTAGATAGAAATAGATGTGGCAACTCCATCCTCAAGCGTCCATTGTCTGTATGTTTTTCTGAACTAACTAGAAGTAAGTTGCATACATTGTGACACTTATCACTCAGCATTTTAGCATGTGTCTGCTAAGAATAAGGGCATTCTTCTAGATAACCAGAGTACAAAACTAGAATCAATTCCTCAATTGTCTTTTGTACCCTTTTCTTTTGTTTTTGTTTTTGTTTTTTATTAATTCGATTCCATCCAGGCTTATCCATTGAATTTGATGTTTTTCTCTGTGCCCTTTTCAATTGGAAGAGTATTCATACCATTATATTTTTTATTTTTGTTGTTTTGTTTTTACCACTTTAATTTCTGTATATAGAGTACATGATAGTTGTTTTGTAGAATATAGTATGTACCATGTTTGTTTGTTTCCTTATGACTATATTCAGGCTGGACATTTCTGGAGGGGGTTTGTCATCAATTGATGTTATATATTTATTGCAACACAATAAAAGATACCCGATGTTAGTTTGTTCTAGTATGGGTGATGCTTTTGAATTATTTGGTTTAGGTAGTGTTTGTGAGATCTCTCCACGGTGAAGATATAGTATCCCAAATTGAATTATTATATAATCTGAGATAATACTTTGAGACTATGAAGATCATATTCCCCAACAATTTCTAAACAGTTGTTATCCATCAGTGAGCCTTGTGTAAAACAGTCTATCTACACTGCAAGTTGCAAACTGTTGATTTTTCTAATTTTACCTCTTCTACATGTTTTATCTGACATTTTCCCCACTTTCTTATTTTTACAATATAACCTTCCTTTCTTAGAATTTTTAAAATAAATTCCAACATTACTGTCATTATCCATTTTTATATTCAAATTGTGTCCTAAACTAGTCAGTGGGAACTCTTAAGACCTCCTACACAATATTTTTGTTGTTGTTGTTGTTGTTTTTAAATAGGACTTCTTGGGTCTTTTCTAAAAAATTTATACCTAAAAGAAACTGGGGCCGGGGATTTAGCACAGTGGTGACGCCGCCTGCCTTGCGAGTACAAGGTCCTGAGTTCAATCCCCAGTACCAAAAAAGAGATTTGTGTATTTTTCTGAGCATTCTTCTAAAAGCTTACTTTCTTTTCTTTCTTGTAACAGGGATTGAATTCGGGAACTTGTGCTTGCAAGACAGGCGATGGCACAGTGAGTTAAATCCCTGGCCCAAAGGTTTATATTTTTAATTTTTATGCTTAAGTCTATGATCTATCTTATTTTTTCATGGTGTGAGTTAGGGCTTGAGGGTCTTCTTTCTCCCCCCAATTTTGATATGATTGTTTTAGTACTCTTCTGAAAACAGAATATCCTTGCTATAGGATTGGGTTGATGTCTTTGTAGAAGTCAGATGACCATATATATGAGGGTCTATCTCTGTGCTCTATCGTGTCTCATTGATGTTTTAATTGGTCATTATGCTGTGCTGGCAGCACAGTGTTTTGATTACAGAAGCTCTAGAAAGTCTTTAAGTATAGGTATAGTCTTCCAGTTTACTCTTTTTGAGATTGCTTTGGATATTCTCATTTCTTTGCATTTCTACATATATTTTAGAATTAGCTTTTTAACTTCTGCGTAAAGAAACTTGGTGAGATTGTGACTGGGATTGAGTTGAATCTGTAGATTGATTTGTGGAGAACTGATTTTTAATGGGATGAATTCTTCCAGTGTATCATCATAGTGTCTCTCTCCATTTTTTTCTCTTCTTTAATTTTTCCCAGTGATGTTTTGTTTCAGGTTTGAAATTTTGCATATTTAAAAAATTTCTTTCTTAGGTTTTGGTTTTGATGTTGTCCCTTCTTTTCTTTCTCTCCTTTTCTTCTCCTTACCTTTGTCTTCTCCCCCCTCCACTCCCACTCTTCCCTTTGCCCAAACCCCCTTTGTTTAGTTTCTTCCCACTTCCACCAACTAGGATGAAGGAAGTAGTTAAACAGATGAACTATAAAATGCTAAGAGAGGCCTTTTTAAATTTTTTTTAACAGGACCAAAATAATCTTGATGCAGCAGGTACATAATGTCATTATGGAGACCTGACTGCATTGCTCTCCAGGAGGGGCAGAGAGGTTAGAAGACTGGGAGGAATCAAATGCAAAAGCTTCTTTAAGAAAGTGACCTTTGAGTTAAGGCTGTCACCTGAGGCAAAGCCACAGCAGTAAGGAGAAGAGAACTCCAGGCAGAAAGTAGGGAGCAGTCTGTGAGAAGGTGATGGATGCCTCAGAGAACTGCTTGGGATTTTTAGCACGCTAAAGTCCTTCTGGAGAAATAGGCAGGAGGGGACCTTGTATTAGTTATGGTAGGCAAGGTAATGGGGTTTGAGCTGTACTTAAAATTCCAGGAAACCAACTAATAAATGACCTCATAAACTTAATTTGTTTCTCTAAAAAATATACTGGTGTTGGCCCAGTGCTGATTGGTTTTTCTTTTTAATTAAGCTAATACTTGGTATTTGGAAAATATCCTGCTATAGTTCAAGATTTCTGGCTTCTACTGATTAAAATTTTATTTTATTTTCTATTTCCATACATGTAGCCCCCGAAGATTAGGCACATGCTGTTGTTTGCCTTATTCCTTGCTTCTTGAGGCTGGCTGTCAGTTGCCAATTCTTGTCTTTTCTTTTCCCTACCCTTGGTCCTACTTGTGGGAGTTATGCTGAGGTTTAATGATAAAATGTACCTTATATCCTCAGCATTGTGCATGACACCATAATCTCAGCGTAAGGAAGCTGTTCATTTTGTTAAAATGTTAATATATACAAGGCTATAAATACTAATTGTGTTAACGTGTGGTGTTATCACGTTTGTGGAAGCACGTGGAGCTGAGGTTTGGCTCTGTACCCAGCATAGGAGCAGATGCGGTAAGAAGATAGCAAAGGAGCAAGCCATTCCCTGGAAGAAGGAAAGGTCTCAGTTTATTTTCTTCTCACACGGTAAGGATCTCATTGGGTAATCCACCAGCATAGATAAAATCATTTCCCTGTAGTGCCAATAGTCTGACAAAGGAAAAAAGAATGCAGCAAAACTGGTGTGGCCAGGCAGGTTAGCACATGCCTTTAATCCCAGCTGGTCAGGAGGCTGAGGTAGGATCCAGAGTTCACTGCCAGCCTTGGTGATTTATCGAGACTCTGGCTCAAAATATTAAGATAAAAGCGGAGCGGTGGGGGGTGATGTATCTCAGTGATTAAGTACCCGTGGGTTTGGTCCCTAGTCCCACACACAATAAAGAAGGGGTGTTCTTATGCAAGTGCTCCTGGAGTGGTCCCAGAGTGGCCCTAAGGTTGGCATGTCTAAAGAGCAACCTGTGGAAAACACAAATTTTTACTAACCACAAAATCAGAGTATTCATTGGAGAAAATACTATTCATCAGTTAATTAGCCTATTCTTTTTTGGTGACCTTAGCATTTAACTTCAGATCTCATCTAGGTTCTAAGAAGAAGCTGATAAAAGCAGAAATCCTTCTTCCTAGAAAAATGAAGTAGGTAAAGTACATATTTTAGGCTTTGTGGACCATATGCTCCCTGTTTCATCTTTTCTTTCCATCTTGCTGTCTTCTCTGTAGATGGCCATGGCATCCCTGTGGACACAAATAAATGGTTATAGCAGTATTTTAATAAAACTTCATGTTCACAGACAGCAGCAGCCACATATGACATGTAGGTGACAGATTGCTGACCCCGGGTATAGCCCTGCTAGATTGGAGCAGTAATCATCAAATATTCACTCACTCTTGCCTCCTCTTTCATGGAATGTGCACCCATATACACCCCGGGACAGGCCTTGGCCACGTTACTGTGAGCAGACATGATGAGTGCGAAGCTTTTAAACGCGTGTATGTGGTCTAGTTTGTGCTCTTGACATTTACCTTGACAAGAATATGCCCTAGGTCTCCTGGCCTGAGGAGGCTGACACGGCAGAGCTGGACCAACACAGTCTGAAACCAAGCTGTGCTGCTGAAGTAGAACTGCTCAACTGAGCCCCATCTAGGTCTAGTGAATTTTCAGCCACTTGCAAACCTGTGAGCTTCAAAATAAATGTAGGCTGTAAGCCATCAGGGTTTGATTAGTTTGTTAATGCAGCAGCATTATAGAAAGAGCTGGCTGGCATTTTAGTACAAAGGAGGATATAGTTGCCTCTGGACATTAAACAATTAAAACATCAACCTCATTTTCAAAAACCAAAGCAACAAAGGAGAATTCTTTTTCTCACCCAAATGTTTTTCTTTATAATTCTTCGTCTCATTTTTCTCTCCCTGTTCTGCCCCCATAGTTGGAATGAATCCTGAATTGTAGATGAGCTTCCTGTGTGTACAGCTAATCAATAGTAACACTGCCTTTAGAGAAGCAGAGCTTTCTTTAAGCTAAGCCCAGGGAGAATCTGAATATTTCGTACTTCTGAAATGACAGTGGAAGCATATCCAAGCTTCTCCTCAGAAATGAACACTTGCTCTCTCCTCAGTTCAACGGAGATTTAGAGAGTGAGATGCTAGGTGAAGCTTATTCAGTGGATAATTGTTTGGTTCCTACTGTCTGCCATGTACTGTGCTAGTCTCTGGTCAGATACAAGATCTTCAAGGAGTACACAGGCTAGCAGAAGAGGCAGCCAGGTAAATGCATGTAAGGTCTAACATGGCAGGCAGTACTGAAAGTGGTTAGAAAACAAAGGGAAGTGGTGCATTGAATCCTGGGGACATCTGTTCCAGACCCTAACAAGGTAATACTGAAATTTAGTTCTTTCTGTTCTATATATAGTATGTGCAAAATATGAAAATTAAAAATATGAGAAGAAAAATAGTTTCGTAAGCCAGAGAATAATCATTGTTAACACCTGATACATTTCATAGGTACATTCTTTGATGGATCTGATTTATGTTAGAGTTGTAACATACATGTATGTATTTCATTTAATAGATTTTTAATCTAGTTGTAATCCAAGCATTTTCCTAACTCCTTATAAATATTTCTTAAGCATTCATTTTAGTCAGTCTACTATGGCTCTGCCATGTTTTATCTAATTATTCCCCTATTGTTAGATATCTAGGTGGTTTTCCAGTTGAAACTATTGTAAATACATTGTGACAAAGTCGTAATATAACACACACTGGATGTTTCTACACATACAGAAGTGTGAAGCATTTTAACTAAAAAAGACAAAGTATAGGTCAGTGGTAAAATACTTGCTTAGTATGTTTAAGAGCCTGGGTTCAAGCCTCAGTATTGCAGAATTAAAACAGGTGAAATGTTCTTTCTCGAATCAAACCTAGACCTTTCTGCAGTGATGCATTCTTCATTCAGGAAAAGCAACCCAGATAAGTCAGTCAATCTAATAATCTATTGGTAACTATTTAAAAGTCTAAAACTTTAAATTCGGTAAACTTAAGGTATCAGTACAGAAACCTCCAAATTCCCAATTCAAAAAGTGTGAAGCATCTTGAATTTTTTTATTAATCAACACCCCATGAAACTACCAACTACCTACATCAATTATCACTAAGCAAACGGCATATTACCACTACACATTTCAAGAGACAGAACTTTCTCAAGTCTCTGAATTCACCCCCACTTCCCTCCCTCTTCCTCCAAGGTAACCACCCACCTGGCCATAAAGCTGTAGTCAGTTTTTGCTTTGCATGTCTGTAGGTCAGTTAATATTTTCCTGTAAATTTCCAGAAGTAGTATTACTAGACCAAGAGATATGAATATTTTAAAATATTTTAGTTCAGTTGCTTTAAAAAATGTGTCATTTCATTACCATAGTAATAAAAGTGTAGAAAAGATTCTGTTCCTAGATGTGGAAAGGGGAGAGAGCCTAGTCAAGGGTACAGATAGACAGACTTCTAGATAGCAAGACCAAATGAAACCATTTTCTTTCAAGAAATCTCAGCAGTCTCTTTCTGAATTCTATTTTAAGTACCTTGAAAATCCTCTTCTCTGTCTGGCCATTCTCACTCATGTGCCGTAAGAAAGATGAGCATGTTGAACCATGCTCTGCGCTTTAAGACTTCTGGACACAATAGGAACACGTAAATTTGTGCCCACATTCATGGCTGCAGAAAAGCACACGGGTTCTACAGAGCCAGAGGGCTACCGCAGGAAGGGAAACTGGAATGCCTGGCCGACAGTCATACTGCCCACTATATTTCTATTGGTGACTTTGCCTCATCTTGGAGAAAATCAGAACATTTTCTTTTTTTTTTTGAGTGTAGAAGCACTTCCTAGCCTTGGAGGAACTGGCATCTCACATGGGACTGTAACTTGTATAATTACTGGTTGGTGCTTATGCAGCAGTGGACTTTTTGTGGGTATGACTGCTCCTGAGAAGAGGCTTAGAAACATGATTGTTTACTAAGGGGCTATGGGGAGATGCTAAATTCAGTTTTTGGTGGAAAATGGTCCCTCATTAGGAAATGAGTTATTGTAGCTAGTCCAGTATTCTACTTCCCTGCTCTGGGACTGTGTACAGTACGCATTTCCTAATCCATGAGTAAGAACACTTAAGACTGGGAGCTTCTCAAGGAGGTTTGCTCCAGTTTCTCAGAATCATCTTTCAGTTGTGCTTAACACCTTGTCTTTGCTCTTCCCTACCTTAAATTTGCTCTCTTCTTATTGCTGTTCTTTCCTGAAACTCTGTAGTTTAAATTGAGAACAACAAGCATTGTTTCTTATTTCACTTTCTCTTTGCCTTCATCAAGCCATGAATGTCTGGCAAAGACACTACTGAGCCGTGGAAGGGTGGTGTGGATTAGTTCAGACATAACCTGCTGTTTCTCTCTTGTTCCTCGCAGGTCTCCTCTCTAGGGATGGTGGAGTTGGAAAAGGTGCCTTTAACTCTCCTCTGGGATGAACCCCCTTCCGGAAAACATGGAGAGTACTCTCACAGGGAGCCAGAGCTCCCATGCCTCTCTGCGCGATGTCCACTCCATCAACCCCACACAGCTCATGGCCAGGATCGAGTCCTATGAAGGAAGGGAGAAGAAGGGCATATCCGACGTCAGGAGGACTTTCTGTTTGTTTGTCACCTTTGACCTCTTATTTGTAACATTACTGTGGATAATAGAGTTAAATGTAAGTTGATTTTTTTATTACTTTATGAAAAATACTTCCTGATGCAAAAAACAATTTTAAAACTGTTCTTATTATTTCTGTCTCATTCAGTGAATAACATCTTTATCGGATGAGGCAATATTGCTTTTTTCCACCTGATCTAGACCTTTGTTGTTCTTTCATGTCACTGTCTAAAACAAACCTGGTAAATCAAGAGTTAACTTCGTCTTACATATTGAAATTTGAATTCCTAGTGTCTTTTTTGTTCAGCAGGAAGAGATGGCTATAGACTGAGAGACAAATGCAGCAGGTCTGTGTTAATAAAGTTTTATTGGAACACAACCATGCTTATCTGTTTGCATACTGTGTGTAACTGGTCTTCTGTCTGAGTAATTGAGTAGTTGAGAAAGACCTTTTAACCCAAAAGGCAAAAATAATTATTCCCCAGGGCTTTTCACAAACTCAAAAATGTGAAATGCTTCTGGAATATTTTAAAAATTATATTGACTTTTTAAAATTCCCTTGGGATTTTTGCATATTCTTTACCCTTTTTTTTGCAGATGTTATTTATTCGTATTTTATTTCTGTACTCTTATATTTTATTTCTATATTCCAAGAGGCATGGAGGATTATACAGTAATGTTGCCCAGTAATTGTGTAGATCAGTACTGTCCAATAGAAGTATAATGCAAAATTCAGAACACAGAAATTTAAACCTTCTCATTACCGCAGAGAGCCCCCTTCCTAGCAAAGGCTGTCTGTTCACCAGCTGCCCATTTGACTCACTCTCGGATGGAACAGGTTCAGTCTGCCTCAGGACCTCTGTACTACTGGCTTTCTATGTATTAAATGATAATTTTCTTTGTCCTTTATATTCTGATATCCTATTATGCTGCTGTCAAATTAAATATCACCATTTTTCTGTCACACTGTCCTGCTTCTGTTTTCATGTCACACTTGTTTCCTGATTTGTCATCTCTCTTGCCTAGCTAGAATACAGACCCGTGAAGATAGAGACGTTTTTGTTTGCCGACGTATTTCCTGTACTTAGAACAAGGCCCAATGCTCAGTAGGTGCCCTGAAGATATTTGGTGAATGGCCTGAGGTGATGGTGGCAGTGGTGAGCAACTGGATTAAATTAGGGGCAAGGGGCAGTGGGAGCATTGACTAGAAACTGTTCAGGGAAGCTCTGGAGGAGGGATGAAAGGAGGGAGGTCCACGAAGGAGGAGGAGCAGCAAACTTGATAATTGGAAGAAGGAGTGATCCACTCCCACATGGAAGGGTGATTCCAAGGTGCCTAATTATAGTAAAGTGAGGAGGAATAGTTTGGATGGGATATCCCTTATCCCCTATGTGTGGGACCAGCAGTATTATAGACTTTGGAATTTTTTTATTCACCTGAATGCATAATAATACAGTTGGGGATGAGACCCTATTTTAAATACAAAATTCATTTACTCATACATAGCCTGAAAAGAATTTTGTGTACTGTATTTTTAATGGGCTGCAGTGGGGCCAAGACCCCTCACATGTCACCTGTAAAAGTTTCTATCTATGGTGCCCATGTTTGTGCACCAAATGTTTTGGATTCTGGAGCTTTTCAGATTTCAAGTGTTTGGATGAGGGACACTCAAATTGTGCCAGAAAGAACTTGATTGGGAAGGGATTTTTTGAGAAGCTATAGAGTCAGTCTATTTAAGACACCTTGAGCTAGATAAAGATGAATTTAGAATGCAAGTTAGGGTTGTAGATATATATTCTAAATATCCCCACTTACAGGCAGTGCAGATTTAGAGACCTGGCCACTGCTCTTTGCAGACAGGGAAGGGGCTCTAAGGGGGACAACCTCACCTTACTGGGACCACATGGGATAATCAATCTTTTAATCTTCCGGCTACTGGGAAGTGTCCTTAGTTTGGAGAGACAGCATTGAGAGGAGAGCATTGACTGGCTTTTAATAATGAGTGACCTTTCCCTGTTCCCAGGTTTTTAGTTGTGTTCATTTGTAAAGATGTGTAGTCAGGCGGATCTATAGCCCGTCCCTGCTAATGACACAGAAATCAAAACCTTCATGGACTCTAAGACGTGAAGTAGTGTTTACCACTTTCTCTCTCATAACAAATCAAATCCAGCCATGGCAATTTTTATTCTCAGCTGAATGATTGGGAAACCTTATAGAGCTCTTCCTTTTTTATTTCTTTCTCTTTTACCTCGTTGTTTGATTAATTGGACTTTATTGTTTTACAGAGCATCTGTATTTGTTCACCAAGACTGTGTTAGAATTGGAAGCTTGAAATTAATGTTACACATTTCATCCTCTGTGACCAGGCTGACGCTGGGCCCTCATGATGACAGAGCCTGCGTGGTGCTGCATCAGTGGTCGCCATGTGTTCCCTAACTTGATTTCTTAAGAATATTGTTCTCAGCTAGGCCCAATGGTGCTCGCTATAATCCTAGAACCCCAGGAGGCTGAGGCAGGAGGATCCAAAATTCGAGCCCAGCCCTGGCAACTTAGTAATTTAGGAAGACCTTGTCTCAAAATAAAAAGGCTGAGGATGTGTAGCTCATTGGGAGGGTCCTGGATTTAATCCCTGGTGGCACAAAAAAGAAAAAAATTGTTTTAGTGATTTTATTTGTAATTTTGAACTTAATGATTTGACATTCATTTTGATGGTAGAATTAATTAGGAAAGAACACAAAGTTTGCCAAGCTTGATCTTCATCATTAACTATAACTTCATCATGTATAATCATACGTTTAGTCTATTGTTGGTTCTCTTATCCCAGTGACATATTTAAATTGATAAGAGTGCAGAATTTTAAAATGTTAATAGCAAATAAAGACAGTGAGCCACTTCCATCCTTGAGTCATGCCAACTACCTTCATACATATTTGGTCTGGGTTAGGGAAGCCTGGCTTTGCAAAACGTAAAGCTGGCAAGTGCTGCCCGGTGTGCAGAAACATCAATTTGTATGATTGAAAAACTACCTTATTTTATGTAACGTGTTAATTTGCCACAGTATGAACTGCATCATTTTTCATTGTACTTTTATATCCATGTGATGAGTGTGTGAAAAAAACTGAGGAAGTGAGACATGCTATTTAGTCCTTTTCTGTTAAAAATTGAGATCTTTTTCTTCCAGATTTGAACATTTGTAGATTTTGAGGAGATGGGCAGGGAAGTCTATAGGAAACCATATTCTTGTTTCTTTTTCTCATGTAAATCCCTCCTCTTTGTGCTTCTTCCTCTCCTTCCTAGGTGAATGGAGGCATTGAGAACACGTTGGAGAAGGAGGTGGTGCAGTATGACTACTACTCTTCTTATTTTGATATATTTGTGAGTGTTTTAAATTTTACGTCTCACTTCAGATCTGAAGAAACTGAAACCAAAAGTCAGAGTTCCTCTAAAGTACTCAGATTCAGTGCCAGCCTGTTTTCTCGAATGTTCACCTTATTTCTTTTTCTCTGAATTGTCCTCCCACTTACCCCACTGCCCAGGAAGTGTGTGACATTGCCAAGGAAAGAAGAGGTGTACAGGTGATGAGGGAGGGCCAAAGAAGGAGCTGTTCCCTGCACCCGGCTGGGAACCTGTATTCTGTCATGTGGCTAAGATAGAACTCGCTGACATGTCCTAGTCATAGAAAGGAAGAGACACCTGTATTTATGATTTTGTGAGGAAAATGCTGTTATTTTTTGTAATGTTCTACTTGTGATTGTGGAAAATTCATGTGAAACCTGACTTGAGTAGTTTTACCTCAAGAGCTGGCCCAAGGGCTCCCCCGTGCTGGTCTAGGCATCAGTGCCCATCAAGGCTGGGTCCCCTACAATCAGAGTGATGGAGATGGTCTGGCAAGTTCAGAAAGCTGAGTTGCTTTCATTTCATGTGTTTTAAATAACTTGTCTTTGTGTTTTTATTGCTTCCCTCAGCTCTTGGCAGTTTTCCGGTTTAAAGTACTGATCCTTGCGTATGCTGTGTGCAGACTGCGCCACTGGTGGGCAGTAGCGGTGAGTGGGGGTGAGCGTGGTCTCTGCAGGGCTGGTGGCCAGACTGCTCCGCCCTACCCAGGTCCCCTTTGTCCCTCACTTCAGGCTTGGCATCCAGCTTCTTTTCAGTGTGAACCACTGGCTAGCTTGGTCTCCAGGGTGCTGAGCCACATGAGGAATCGAGAGACCCTGTGGACATTATTGGCCTGTTACCCAACCTCCACCTCCTTCACAGATAAGAGCTGAGAGCAGCACCTCAGTCACAGAGATATCCTGAGATTCCTTGCTTGCTTGAAACTGCTAAGTGGCTTTTTCACGATTTAGTCTGTATTACTTTGATCATCTGCACCCCTGCCCTGAACACTCAGGGGAAACACTCTTGTGCTCCTTTTACTTTTGCCTTGTGGCTCCTTGAGGGCAGTGATATTTCAACGCATCTCTTTTCGTTCACGCAGCACAGCTTGGGCACATTCTGTTCACCCTCATTAAATACTACAAGAGATTGAGACTTACAAGTCTGCCTGAACTAATTGAGCTCTTTTAAAGCTGTCATGCAACAGATACGGGACAGAGAATGTAGAGCTCTTAAGCACTGAGTCCCTCTGAGATGGGGGCTGTATTGACCTCCGAAGACAGAGTCCATGAGGGCTGCATCTGCCTGGGCCATCTCCTCTGATCATCTTCCTCGGAGGGAAGGCCAGGCCCCCTGCTAATCCGGAAGCTGTCATAACAGGGGCCTCGCTGACAGTCTGGGCAGTCGTGACTCCCTTTCTTGAGTCCTCTTCTGCTGATTTCACAGTAACTGTGAAGATCATGTCTTCCCAGTTTCCTACAATTGTCCACATTTTGAACAGTCCATTCCAGTGTGCATGATGTAGACTCGTGTCTGTCAGGCCTTGTTTCAGTGTCTGTTTTAGAAAAGAGGTTGACATGGAAGTTTTCAGTGAGAGTTACAAGAAAATATTTTCACTGCCTGCCTCCAAATTGTCTGAAGTTTGGATCTGATGTAGCAAATCCATTGTGTGGTTGTTGATTCTTTTTTTGTTTGTTTGTTTCCGGTACTGGGGATCGAACTCAGGACCTTGTGTTTGCCCCTGAGCTAAATCCCTGGCTGTTGATTTTTATGTTAAAAGCAACTTACAGAGAATCTAGGAAGAATGGTCAGCTGGTTCCCGAGAGTACTCATTGTCAGCCTCGAAAGTGAATTAGTGTCAGGATGTGAAAAGCTTTCTGTTCTTAGCAGACAAAATTTAATATACTTAAAATATAACAAAACGAGAACAGTAGTAGGCCCGGGGTGTGTGTGTGTGTGTGTGTGTGTGTGTGTGTGTGTGTGTGTGTGTGTG